TAAAATGCATGTGCTTCTAAATAGTGTGGCTTTTTTATTTTTGTTTTATTTTTAGTCTTTCACCCTTTTTCTTTCCTAAGAGATTATAACCAAAAATATTTGGTCGACTTTACTGGTACTTTAAGGCTTATTAGGTATTTAAAAAACAGTATAATTGTATAAAATGTGAAAATTCCCTTTATAATTTTAAGTATTTTATAGCCAGAATGTTTTCTAAAGGAAGTTACGCAGTGTCTTTTTGATAATTTAGTAACTGATGTATGTATTGTTTTTCAGATTCCCAGAAAATCTAAGCTGGCAGTTCATAGGAACATCAGAGATGATGAAGGCTTCATTATCCGGCACTTCGCAGGGGCGGTGTGCTATGAAACAGTGAGTATAGCCGTTGCCGGGAGAGAACCATTTGATGTCGAAGCTGCGCTGTACAGTATGGTAACCCCTAGCCCCATCTGGCTGTTTAAATTTAAATTAAATAAAGTTTGAAATTCAGTTCCTCAGTACTCTGGCCGGATTTCATGTGCTCAATGTCCACGTTGGCTGGTGCTGGCTGTGTTGGACAGGACAGACACAAAACATTTCTGTTACCTCAGAAAGTTCTGTTAGCATCACATTAAGAGATATTATCACAAGATGGACTGAATCATTCCTCCTTGCTTCATTTTTCAGACCCAGTTTGTGGAAAAAAATAATGACGCTCTACATATGTCTCTTGAGTCCTTAATATGTGAATCCAGGGATAAATTCATCCGGGAATTATTTGAATCATCCACAAATAACAACAAAGATACTAAACAAAAAGCAGGAAAACTTAGCTTCATCAGTGTGGGAAACAAGTTTAAGGTATCTGTGCTAAATGTATTACTTGAATTTTTTTTTTTTACTGCATTAAGATTGTATTCTTTTATACTTTGCAGTGGATAATGTAGGTCACTCAGAAGTCGCATGAGTGAGGTTCAGGAGCAGACCCTGCATTGTTGATGCTGGTCTGCAAAGTAACATACGGTGGGCATAGTCGCCGAACATACAGAAATCTTGTAATTTTACAACTCTGTTCTTTCTTGGGGCTTAACATGTCTGATTGCTTCTCCTTAAGTTCTTGCTTCTGCTTACTGTCTGGTTGACCTTCCAACCTTCTCTTTCCCATGTGTTTTCTGTTTCTTCCCCCAGTCAGCAGTTTTGTTGTAGCTCGAGATGGCTAGAGAGGACTAGTTGAGTTGAGAGAGGAAATGCAGGCACTGCCAGGGGCTTCAGGTAAATGATAACCTTCGTGGACTCCTGCTCTGAGAGTGGCTACCATGGTAAAGGGAGCCCGGCTCCAGTTAACGATTCAGCTTGTAATTCATTTTCAACGTGTTTTCCCTCATAGTGCATTTTGGGTGTGCACATTACACTAAAATTTGATGAAAGCTTTCAATAACGTCTGTAAAAAATAAATGCTCTGTGTGGCAAACCCTTCAAGCTGCTTATTTAACATTGAAGAACATTTCATTTGTTTCATTAATTTGGATCAGAAATTTACTCTTTGAGGTCTGACAAGGAATTGTCACACAATGTGCCTTAGAAATGGAACCCTACTATTTGGTTCTAATTGTTGAGTGTTTAGAATAGAAGAAGATAATTTAAAAACTGTCACCTTTAATGAATAAAAAAATTGTAAAAAATAGAACGAAGAAAAATAGAATTAATTTCTCTCTAACACATTTCCACAGAATATTGTTGTTGTATTTGCAAGAAAACCCTACATATGCCTTTCATTAAGTGTATTTTAAATGTTAAAAATGATGTAATTAGAAACAATATTTAAGAATCAGAATACGGTTATAGTAACATTGTGAGCCTCCTGAACTACCTTGTAGGTTGAAGTGGCCTTAGTAACTAACTTGATAAAATCACTTTAATAAAACTAGATTTTTAAAAAGCTAAAACATAAATATAGCTTATAATACGTTTTCAGGGAACTGAATAAAAAGTCTTAAACTTTGTTATAAAGTTATATTCATTAATTATGAGTTCCTTATTCTCTTGAGCAGTATTTTTTCTCTTACTTGGATATTCTTAAATTCCTAAATAAACATACAGTAACAGATTGGTTTAAAATGGTATGTTGGACTGTATGAAATGAATATCATTTATTAAGTATATTTCTACTATAATTTAGCAGTATTGCTGGCAAGAACATACTTAAAATTTTAGGCAATTTAGATAAAAATAAAAACATTCCTAAAATTCTTTGAATTAAGGTCTTATTTTGAGATTTGAAGTGACTTAAAATTGCTTATATACAATAAGCTATATTTCGCACATTAACTGCAGAAAGCTATAACTGAGTGACAGTATTAATAATAAAATTTCAGTGTTTTAATGAGATACTTTGAATTGATATATTAATAATAGTTCTTATTTTTGAATATATTAGAATAGCTCATTAAATGAAGTTCAGGCTATGTGAAACAATAAAACAAAACAGGCTAGTATTTACAGTAATAATTCAGTTATCCAGCATCACTGAGAACCAATTTTCCACCAAAAACTGACACTTATGGGTTATTGAAACATAACCCTTTTACTATTAGTGTTTTAAAAAAGGAATTCTTTTTGATGGAAATCTTATTCTGTTATTACATATGTGAATATTTGTGTGATTTAAAATTGAAATAAAATACAAATGAGGCGTGAGTTGCACAAGGCTGTTTGCCCTGATGCCTTGTGGTCCTTGACTGCTGTTCTTTGGTAATTGACATTCTTCTCTCAGGTGATAGTTTATTTTTGCTGTTTCTACTTCTCTGATTGTATTTATCTCCGTTTTGGGGGGAGAATACTGTCCTTAAAGTCCATGAATTAAGAAGCATGGACTTTTTGACAGTTTCCTTTCCAAATTAGTGGCTCTGATACTTGCTTTTCATTTGTGTGGTGGTTCAGACTGATGAAGGTTGTCAGAACTCTGTCAGCCAGATACGTGGGGTGTGACTGTTCATTTTCAATCCAGTGACAGAGTCACTTCATTTTTATAACTTAAGCCTATGACGCCTGAAGTGTGCTATACATCATGGATAAGACAATGAACCTTGGCATCAGGCCCTTGTTGGAATCTTGGCTTTGCCATTAGTAGCTCTGAGATCTCAGCAAGTAATTTACCTTTCTGTGCCTCAACATTTTCACCTGTAAAATGAGACTAATCATATGTCCTTAATGAGAATCATTGTGTGGATTAAATATGATCATGCTGTGAAAAGCTCTGAGTAGTGCCTGACTCATAGAAAGCATTCAGTAAAAGTATACTTATTATTATTATTATTATTAAATATAGCTATGATTTATTCGATATGTTAATTTAAGAATTAACATCTTAATTTACCTTTTGTAAGTAGTATAGTTAGCAATTCAGAACAAAATCAATGTAAGAATTTTAGATACTTAATTTATTTTGCAGAGAAGTAAGGCAAATACATGATTTTAAGGTACTGAGCCAGAGTAAATTATAATCACTTATTATTATTTAGAAAGGAAAACATAGTAGCTTATAGTGTTCATTGTGAAATTTTGAGAAAAGTGTCCTAGCTTTTAAAAATAATTGAAATGCATACAGTTTTCAAACAGTAAGGAGGGTTTTTACAGCTAGGCAGGATGGCTTTGATTATAATAGGCGTTGTACAGAGCAGCCCTAATACACACCATTAGTGTATATTTTAAACACGTCTTCATTCTTAATGGAGTTGACACAAGCTACACCCAGCCTGCCACATGTTCACATACCGCTCCGCTGACCCCGTGTTGAATGCATCACCAGCATCTGCATTTACTTCCTCCGTCGCCTGTGTACTTTTTCCTCATTCACCCCACCTGCAAATGTGCATGTGTGCTTTTTTTTTAGTATTGTTAATTTTCCGCCTTTTGATTATATAAGTTCTGTATAAGTAAAATAACTTACTGCCCTTGGCATTATATGTTAGCCATACATTTTTGCATGTTACTGTCTGTAAAAGAGTTTGTGTAAAGAGTTGTTAAATTGTAGTATATGTCTGTGTTATTGCATGTTATTTTATTCTAATGTTGGAGAGCTAATATTTACTTACTCAATTGTGTTCTTTTACTTTTTGAAATGGTAAAGTGATTTCCTTTCTTCCGCAGACACAGTTAAATTTGCTTCTGGATAAACTTCGAAGTACTGTGAGTACACACACACAAAAAACCCAGGGTTTTAATTCAATTTAATTTTTTAATACTTGATTTTTATTGAAGTGTAATTGATTTACAATGTTAGTTTCAAGATGTACAGCAAAGCAATTCAGTTATATGTATATATTTTCGGATTCTTTTCCATTACAGCTCATTACAAGAAATTGAATATAGTTCCCTGTGCTATACAGTGGGTCCTTGTTTATCTGTTTTATTTATAGTAATATTGTAAAATGATTATAAATCAATTAAAAAAAACAGGTTTTTAAATGGTCCTCTTTAACTATTATTAGTAATAAGCACAGTAAACCTGGAATAATTAGAAATTTATTTAAAACCAAATACCCTCATTAAGAAAATCAGTTTTTAAAATAGTTGTCATTTTGGTTAGTTTTGTTCTGAAGAAAGGTCGAATATATATGTGAAGTCAAATTATTTTATAAATATAGGGAGTTCTCTGTTATTAAATTAAGATTAATCCTCTAGCTTCAGGAAAGTGGAAATCATTAGTTATTATAGAAAAGGGAAATGTATTTTTTTAGAATTAAAGATAATGTATATAATTCATTTTCATTTTACTACTCTGGTGGTAACACTCTCTACCATGACAGTTTTGGCATGGAAAAGATGGATATAATATTTTTATGCCCTGTTTTAGAGGCAGTATTTCCTAGGAGTATTTTTTATTTTTAACTAGACGTTTAAGTTCAGTCTGTTTTTTAAAGAAAAATTCACCATAGAAAGAAATTTGACATGTGGATTATATAAATGAAGCATGATTTCAAGAGAAGACTTTTTTGTAAACAAATCCACAGAACTTAACTGAGTGCTCTTCCTTTTCAAGTCATTTTGAAAACCCAGGTATTTATTCTGTCTGCTCTATTATTGCTTAACTTATTGTTAGACTTGCTTTTGAAACCATTAAAAGATTCTTTTAAACATCCTCATTGCTTGCAAATATTTCTCTCTGAAGGACCAAACATCTTTAAAAACCAAGTCTGATGAGGTATTTTATTTTCATCACTCAAATATAATGCTGCTATTAAATGATGAGATTACATTTGTGATTTTTAAAAAGGAGGCATTTCTAAAAAAGTATTCTAAAAATGTTTGCAGTGAGCATCATTGTTGAAATAACCATCCAGTTTCGCAAGGTGACAACTTGAAAGAGAAATTGTTATCTAGATGTCTAGTATATTAGCTTTAGTGCCCAGCTGTTTCGCTGTGTACATACGAGCGTTCACTCTGCCTCGTTCAACATAATCTGGTAACTAATTCCAAATGAATGCCTCTAGGCTTTTTAAAATACATATTGTTTAACAAATAAAAATTTTAAACAAGAGCAGTGGTGCAACTTAAGGGCCTACTGTATATTTTTGAAATAGAATGATGAGAAAGATTGATTTTTTTTGTTTGTTTTCTTTATTCTTCAGCCTAAATTTTCAGAGACAACTTCATTTATTCCTTTTGTCATAGGGCAGTTTTTTATCACAGAAACATAGTATATAAATATATTTAAATGTAGAATAAAATCATGTGTAAGTCAGCCTCAAACTGTATTGTTTAACTACATTAAAATACTTTACAATGGAAGACTTATTTTTACCGTCACACATTTTTCTCGACACTCAGATCTGAAATGTCGTGTTCTTCTAGTATTATGAGTATATAATACAGAAATTCATTCCAAGCTTTAAATTATTAAAGTACACTAATTAAGTGTAGGTTCCTCAGTGATTATTTTAGAAGAGGTTCATAAGGTAATGATAATATCCTCTGAAAGTTGCTGGTGTTCTTGGAAATAGAAAAAGAAGAATGCTATATGTATCATTTTTAAAAGTCTCTTTATTCTGCTAGGGAGCCAGCTTTATTCGTTGTATCAAACCTAATTTAAAGATGACAAGCCACGACTTTGAAGGTGCTCAAATTTTGTCTCAACTTCAGTGTTCAGGTATTTCTATATTTTTATAATCTGTATCAGTGTGTGTCGGGAGTCGTAGTTCAAATACAGTTTAATATGTCCAGTGTTTTCTAATAATTCATGACTGTCTTGATTATTTTAAACTGCAGTAAGATTTTTGTCTTCTGCTGCCTTTAATTATAAGAAAAGCATGACAGAAAATTATTTGAGCAAAATTGAGGTAGAGGTTTATTTTGATATAAAACTGCTTTCCATCACTGAAGTAAAATTTCTAGACACCCTGCAAGTGCAAGCCGTGTCTCCCTCTGTGGGCTGCTTTCCGCGGCCTCGTCAGGCCAGCAGCGGCTCGTTGCCCAGGCCGCTGGGTCAGGCGGGGCTTTGACGTCCTTGCTTCTGCTCCACCACTTGTGAAGAAGCGGAAGTGACGCAGTGCCCTGGGCTTCTGTGGAACGTTCACGCAGGTGGTTGACCTGTCGCTTCCTGCTCCTCGCCCGGACACGTTCAGAAGTCATGGGCGCTAGGCTCACTGTCTTCCTTTACTCCACACCCTCCCTCCATCCCTGCCCACACCACCCCGCTTTTCCCAAGGCATCAGGCCTCTCCTTTCTTTTTTCTTTTTTTGTTTTTTTGGATATTTGAGTTTTCTTTTCTTTTTAAAAAAATTTTTTTTAAAAATTGAAGTACAGTCAATGACAATGTGTCAGTCTCCGGTGTACAGCACAATGTCCCAGTCTTGCAAATATATCCATAAAGGAGAAGAAAGAGCAGAGGGGATCGAAAAGGTATTTGAAGAAATCTTGACTGAAAACTTCCCAAACCTAAAGAAGGAGTTAGATATCCAAGTACAGGAAGCACAGAGGGTCCCAAACAAGAAGAACCCAAATAAACCTACATGAAGACACATAATCAAGGTGGCCAAGGTTAAAGAGAAAGAAATGACCCTTTCCTATTGGTTCAGGCTTGGGACACATCCTGAAACTCTCTTGCCTCCCTGACTCCTTATCTTCCTCCTCTCAGAGGCAGAAAGCGAAGGCCACTTTAGCTTCAGGGTACCTTATTTAAATGGACTCCTTCCTGATTTTTTATTCTTTAGTAAATTCGTACTTTTCCTTTAAAGAGCCCTGCGCCCATTATGTAAGCTTCAGGCTCTCCCAGTCTGGCTCTGCCCTTGACCCCTCTCACAAAACCCCAGCTGCTGAGGAACCTTATTTTGTCCTTTCTCCTCATCTGCACAGAGAAGGTAGGCAGGGCGGATTGACACCATTATAAATTCATGATCACTAACCTGCAGAGGGCTCTCATAGTCAACCTGCCAAGTTTCCCGGCCGGTGTGTTCTGTTTCTCCACGAAGATCAGTCCAACCTTCCCTGCTCTCCTCAGATCTCTGAGCCTCTGCCAACAGACAGCCTCAGGCCTGCCTGTCTGCTACCAAACACTTCTGCCTCCCTGCATAACTTCCCTCCTGATAGAAAGCAGGAAGGGCCTCTCTTCCTCGTTGAGACTGCATCCATCCCTTCCTAGCTTCCTTCTCACGAGTCTTCAGTAGTGATTGTCCGTATTGGACCAGACAGATCTCTACCACTTAAATGTGCTAAAACCTCATCTCCAGTCCCTCTCGCCCACATTCCTTTCCAGCTGCCTCCTTATCTCTGGCCTCATTGTTCTCCAGTTTTTCCTTTTCTGTCCAAGAATATTCTATTCTTGCATTCTCAGTTTCCTGCCTTCCACTCGCTCTCTAACCCTAGAGAATTCTGCTTCCACCTTCATCAGTCCAACAGAATAATTCTTGCTGAGGTTACCAGTGATTTCTTTGATCCTGGATCCCTTATTTCCTTAGCAGTCCTTACGTCAGTGGATTTCACAGCAGCACTCAGCTCTGACTCATCCCTTTAACATAGCCTTTCCTTGGCTGTTGAAACAGCTTCGTATGTCGCTGCTTTCGTTTTGAATTCTTTGGCCATTCCTGCCTCTGCAGGGTCGTTGTCTTCCACCTGGATATTGTTTGTTGGTTTTTCAGGCTTTGTGTCTGGCCTGTTTTCCTTCTCACTCTGTATCAGTGCTGTTTAGTGTAACTTTCCGTGGTGATGGAAATATTCTAGATCTGTGTAGTCCAGTATGGTAGGCACTGGATACTTGCGGCTGGTGAGCACTTGATATGTGGTTATAAGACTTAGGCACTGCATTTTTCATTTTACTTAATTTTCATTTAAAAAATTTAAATAATAACAGTTGCACGAGGCTAGTGCAGCTACAGAACTTGTGGCTCGTGACTGCCCTGTTGGACAGCCTAGCTGTGTATTCCCGATCTAGGTCTCCCCAAGTCCCTTTGATGTGACCTCCTAAACAGTGTTTTTTACGCCCCCAGTTGTATTGAGCTATGATTGACCTACAGCATTGTGTAAGTTCACCTTGTGCGATGTATTGATTTGATACTTACCTATTGCAGAATGGTTTCCACCGTAGCATTAGCTAGCACTCCCATCAGGTCACATAATTACCATTGCTTGTTTGTGCAGAGAATATTTAAGACCTGCTCTCTTAGCACACAGTGAGTCTCAGGACCCTTCATTCAGGCTGTCACCACCATCTTTCACCTGGCTTTTGGCTGGAGTTTCCTAGTGGCTGTCCTCGCATCTGCTCAATCTGTTCTTCACATGCATCCAGAATTGCTGCTTGACAAGCCACGTCTGGTTGTGTCTCTTCACAGTGAGCTTCTGTGAGACAGTTCCTATCTCGTCTGCAGCTGCAGGGCAAGCCAAGGGACTCGGGTGGGGATGCACACATGTGTAAGGGTCCTTGTATATTTGATATAGATGGGGAAAATTGTGACAGTGCCAACCAAACCTTACTTTTATTTCTCCAAGCAGACCCAAAAACTAAATCTAGTTCTGGAGATTTCTTTGCATAGGAAAGTTTGCCTTTATGTGTTCCATTATATTATATTAAATTTTATTTAATTATAATATATATAGTATGTGATATTATATTACATTATATAGTATACATCATAGTGTATATATAAATTATATGTAATATATTTATTATGTTATATTAAAATTATAATAGTTATATGTGTTCATTGTAACAATAATGAAAAGATACAGAATAATGTAAATTTTAAAAAGTCTCACGGCTCAGGGGTGAACACTTAACTCTTATACTTGTTAAAGCTCTGCCTATTATTTTTAATTAATATATCATATTCTATCATATGGTTATTACATAATTTAATGAAGTGATATATAAATTATAATTTCTGTGTTTTCTTTCTGTTACCAGCAATGACCCAATGGACATACACACCTTCTCTGTGCATGTTTTTGCCCACGTGTGTGACAGTTTTTAGGAGAGATTCATAGAAGTAGGAAGTACTTAGTCAAAGGGATGGATATTTAATATTATTAATATTTAATATGAATTTAATAATATGAATAAATATTCCAGATTGCTGTCTAAAACTGTTGCACTGGTCATTAACTCTCCCACTAAGAGGGTATGTGTGTGTGTTTCCTACACTGTCATCGTCCCTCACACTGTCGGGGTTTTACATTTTTGCCGGTCACATAGGTTAAAATTCATTCTGACTGCCTAGGAAGACTGTCTTGCCAATGAGATTATTTTATAATAAAAATCCACTCATTTTTTTATATTTTATAGTTTCATTTTGCTAATTTAAATTTTTGAGCAGCAGAAATTTATTTTGGTGTAGGGAGTGAGGTAAGGATCCAATGTTATTTTTGTTTTCTAAGGGGTAGCCAGTTGGCCTAACACTTTATTGAATAATCTTATTTTCATCCTTGATTTTAGTAGTCCTTTTGATGGAAATCCAGATCTTTCTATGAATAAAAGTCATGGCATTATTTATAGTTGAGCCTCTCCCTGGGTATTTCATGCTTTTCCTGACATGAAGCGCTCACACTGACTCAAGGCTCAGATTAACCATTTATTAGAGTTACACAGAATATACATAGTCCTCTGATACACTCTTTACCCCAGTAGATTAGTTCCTTTGAGAGATGAGTGAAAGGGGATCTTTATAGTAAAACAGCGCGTTCCCCTTTCTCTTCCATTTGCTTTGTTTAAGCACTGGTGAGAGCTGGGGAATAGGTTTGACTTCTTCTTGGAGAGTCTGTCAGGAGTCCTGTTGCAGCAGTAACCTCAGGATTTAGGAAGCAGCCTAACACAGTCCTCTGCCTTATATGCTGTGATTGTGACTCAAGGCTTTCCAGCAAAAAAAAAAAAAAAAGAAAAGAAAAAGATACAAATTAGATTTGAACTTTCTAGAGACCAGTCAATAGTTTGTCTCTAGAAAATAGTCAAGCTTGTTTCAGGTGACATTTGGCTACAGTAGTAGTAGGTGGTGGGTCATTTGGGACATACTGAGTATAAATGTGTTGTTTCCTGTGTAATATTTCACTGTTAATAATTTCTGTGAATTATCACATTTCTAAACATTAATTTGTAAAGTTGTTTGTTTGCAGGTGATTTTTGGAGTTGTGCACAGTGGTTGGCAATAATTGTGTTTGTTGATGAATCTAGGTATGGTGGCTGTTCTGGACTTGATGCAAGGTGGTTTCCCATCTCGAGCTTCATTTCACGAACTCTACAACATGTATAAAAAGTATATGCCAGATAAACTCGCAAGATTAGACCCAAGACTCTTTTGTAAGGTACAAATACCACCTATGTTGAAATTTCTTAGCTATAAACTGTCATTCTTATTAATTACTAATTGGCATTCAACTTTTATTTTTCAGGCTCTTTTTAAAGCTTTGGGCTTAAATGAAGTTGACTACAAGTTTGGATTAACAAAAGTATTTTTTAGACCTGGCAAGGTAAATACATTTTTGTTTTAAACTTTAACATGATGAATATTGGATAGTTGGAGTCAGTGAATATTTTTAAGGGTTTAATGATTTGTATTATTCTTGAATTAGATGGTCACTAACAGCATGCATGTATATGTGTGTGTGCACACACATGATTTTCCCACTCATGAGACGTTTGTGATGTGTAACACTCTATACAGTTTTTTTAAGCTTTGGAAGTATTGGAATCAGAGCATTGTTTAATTGAAACTTTTACTTAAATAAGGGCTCCAGAAAATATTTCTGTTTTAGACAAGTTGAAATCTTTTTTAGAACATATTAATTCAACCTTCAGTAATTAAAAATTGCACAGTGTTTTTGAGTCTTCATTATGAAAGCAAGACTTGTTGGAACATGATGGGTGTGTCATGTGTAGAAGATTGGACTGGAGTCTGTGCTGACTTCTATCAAATCTTAGAAGGAACGACTGTATAAATGCTTTTGTCTGTAACATAATTTTCTTAGGCTACCCATTGTTTTAGTATTTATAGGTTCTCATACTAGGATACAAAACTGACTGAATATTTCATAACTAAATATATATAGTACAGAAATATTAAATGCTATTCACAATCTGTTCATAATAATTTTACTTCTTTACTGTCCTCATAATTTTAAACACAGCTGTTATATATAATAGCCAACTATACTTGTTTGACTTAGCAAAATCATTAAAAAATATCTCCAATGCCTTGAAGGCTAAATTAATCATAATAAATAAATCTGATTTTACATTTTGGGCATGAGATAAAATCTGTGTAATACATTACCAACGTATGTACTTCCCTGTGAATATTTTTTACTGCTGAGAACCTATACCATCTCTTATAAAAGAGAAGATTAAGAGAAAATGAATAGATAAATATTCATAGTTGGCTTAGCTGTAATCATACTTATCATAAACTCAACATTTCTCATATCAGGGCTGTAGTCCTTATTTTAGAATTAAAAGTATGATAAGAGAGAGACACTTGGTCTTACTTGCCTCCAGAAAAAAATTACTCAGTCAGAAAGATATGGAAAAATTACTCAGTCAGAAGGAAGTTGCAAGGCAGATTTTCAGAAATCTTTACTCTCCTTACATTACCTTTAATTTTATTACAACAGGCAGTTATTTTGATAGGTGTGTGACATCTTCAGTATACCACAGTGGGACATTTGGTAAAGGATAAAAATCAGTATGCAATTTGATGGTAAATTGTGGAAATAATGCATTTTATTATTGAACAACCTGCTAGCTGTTTTATTTGTGTTGCCTGTCTCAGTAGGAATTTCTTATCTCTGACCAAAACAGGGATGGGGGTTGGGAGAGACACAGTAGTTTCGGTGGTACCTGATTTTACAGAGCTGACCTTCTTGTTAGGAGCTGTATACAGGTGTCTGAGAATATGGATGAGCCAATGCAGAGATATATTAGCCCTTTTTTTCATTCTTTTCTCCATAGAACCTTTTTACCTACCATCTATAATTGTCATTTAAGTTTTTTTTCTGTACTTCTTTATCATACCTACTAAGTAGCAATGAGTAACCCTCCCTAACCAAAAAAGGTCCTGAAGAAAGGAAGAAAAAAACAGCCAAGTACAGCCGAGGGTGTTTGGGTCTGCAGTGCACCCCCTGAGACGTGTCTGTGTTGGGCTTGTAACCATTTCCAGAAAGTTCTGTCTGGGGTTTGAGTTCTAGTATTTTGTATCTCTCTGCATGTTTAAACACATCTGTCTTCTGATGCTGATAGTCACTTACATTATTCCCTAGTTTGCAGAATTTGATCAGATTATGAAGTCAGACCCTGACCACTTAGCGGAGCTGGTGAAGAGAGTCAATCACTGGCTGATCTGCAGTCGCTGGAAGAAAGTTCAGTGGTGCTCGCTCTCAGTCATCAAATGTAGGTGTTTTCTCCCACACCAGGACCTGGCATTATTTTGGGAGGGAATTGAATTGTGGAACATTATAAATACGTCTCAGTGCTGAGTGCCGAACAGAAGGGACTGGGTCACTTATTCAGTGCTGTGCCCTGGCCTCCTGTCGTTAACACCTCACGTGTAGTGTGCAATAAATAGAACTTACGGACTTTCTTTTCAAATTTTTTTGAGTGTATGATACTTATCTTCTTTAATTGCATATATTATAGGAGAATTAATTTCATCCTTTCCTAAAGAATAAACCCAGGATTACTGTCTTGATTCTCTCCCTCTACCTCCCCGCCCCCTCCCACATACCGTACCCCAGTCTCTCAGACTTAAGCCAGAGCTTTTCTTTCCACCTGCCTGACATCACAGGTACACATGATAAAATTTCAGGGTTGTCCTTGTCTGTTCTTTCTTGTCCCTGAAAGCTTGCCAGTCAACAAACTCTATTGATTCCCCCTCAAAACACCGTCTGTTCTTTGCTCTTTCTTGCCACTGCCTGAGTGCAGCCCCTCTTCCCTGCCTGCACAGTAAGTTCACTGTCTCCCAAACTGGTTTTCCTGGCTTTCCAGACTTATCTTCCCAGAGTCTCTGACTGAAAGCCTTTAATTAAGGCTCTCCTTTAATAGAGGGCGAAATCTAAAGTCTTAGATAAGTAGTTGTTACAGTATTCTCTGACTCAAAACAAAGGTGAAGGACAGAATATCTGTGGGTTACCTGAGAGTCTACGGCAAACCTTTAGTTGTAGGGAGCTGTTGTTAGCAACTTGGTTAACTTTATCATTGCCCCTTTCCCCATACTCACCAGAGTGTCTGAAACAGTGCTAGGCATGTGAAAGGGGCTCAGTAAATTGTTTCTTAATTAATAAAAAAAAAAATTCCTTTGACCTAATGAAAAGAAATCATGCAAGCAAAGATTATTACTGAGGTCTTTCATTAGTCAACTGAAATATAGATAGAAAGAAAACTGTAATTAAAAAAAAGATAGC